TGAGAGTGAGCATTGTATCTTATTCTCAATCCTTAAATGATTATACATCATATGTGTGAAAATGTAATCATAATTTCTGTGAGAGCATTTGAATATTTTGTTGAGCTTGAACTTGCATTTGAAGCAAGTATTGCGAGCTTGAGAATATTTGGTAACGGTGTGCCAAACCTTGAATCTTTGGGTACACAATTGATCGTTGCATAAATAAATTGATTCTTTTTTTATACTTTCATGATTGAATATTATGTAGCACTTATTTCGACATCCTTTTTGAACTACTGGACTTGAGTTTTACTTGAGGACAAGCATAAGTTCAAATCCTCGAGGATCCCGAGTTCACTTGGAAAATCGCCGAAGGTCTGAATATTGCCTTTTGTTGTAGTGTGCTGAGACTTGGTGGAAAATATCTAATCAGCGGTGAAAAGGAGTAGTCGTCACATCGCCGAGCATTTCCACAAAGCAGTACTATCTCACCCAATGATAAAAAACATGAAGATGCTTGGACTAAGCGAAAGATATCGATGAAGTAATCAAAAGGACAATCATCGATATGATCGGTGATTCTGACTAACTATGACGAGTGATTCGATGTGGCACTAATCTTTGAAAACTATAAGTACTTGTTGAGATTTTTAGCTTAATCAAATTATTATTGAATAGTATCAAAATTTAGAGAGTTTTATCAGCTTTTAAATTCTTGTTGTTGAGCTCTAAGTTTGGAGAGGGTCTTAGAAGAACTTAAAGATTCAAAGGGTTTCATATCCAAGGATTTGGACTTAGGACTCTTGGATTCTTTACTCTTGGCCTGTAACAAGAATTAAATCTTCATACCCATTTGGATGCAAAATTATTTTGGTATAAATTTCTATCTCTTGTACATGTCTAGCTAAAACCCTAATTCTTGGTGTGTGATTTTGCGAGTATGGGTTAAATTATTTGTTAGGTATTGATTACTGATAGTTTATTTGTAGTTTAGGTGTGATTTCGTTTAGTAGTTGTGGATAAATTTAATTAGGTTGTAGTTGTAAATATAATCTCATGTATGTGTTTTGGCTTTCTCGAGATATAGGTCTTGAAACTAAGACTGCCAAATTGATGGCCTGTGGGAGTGGGTCGGCATGAAGATCAACTTGAGAGAGTGAACCCTAGTCTCATTTAAACATACTCAGTTCGAGAGAGTGAGTGGGTTAAGGCGGAAGTTGTTCTTCATGGGGCAAATGGGTGTCTGAGAGGAACCCATTTAAAAGGGGTTAAGTTGCTCGTGAGAGAGCTTATCCCCTTAAAGTCTAGCCTAGTCACAATTACTCTATGAATTTTATATCAAAAGCATGCACTCAATAGTCTTATTTAACCCTGTAGACAATAGAATTCACGTCGAGAAAACAATAATCAAGACTGAAAAATTAAAGCAACAATCGATTTTATTATTTCAAATGCGAGTGTTACAATATCTATGATTCCTCTGAGTTCGTCTTTTCAAATATAAATTCAAGGGCTTTAAAGATTGTTCTTGAATCTTTGGTGAACTTGAACTTGAACTTTATCTTAATCTTGACTTTTATTTGAATTCAAGGGCTTTGAGTTTGTTCTTGAATTCGATGGTCTTGATCTTGATTTTTCTTGAAATTGAATGCTTGAATTCTTAAACTTGTAGCTTTCTAGAGAATTAAATGGCATTTGTAATACGGAATTTCTCTAGCTTCTTGTTTAGAATTTTCTTTCCCTTTTTTGAATTATGAGGAATCCCTATTTATAGATTTTAAAATAGAGGAGTTGTGATTGGAATATGATTTCGTTCGGCCAATCGAATTTAAGAGACATGGCATATGGGCTTTATGGTGATGGCTTGTCATATTTCACATATGTCATGATTCTATTGGTTCCTTATTTGACTTGATATGCCACATCATTTACATACGTGGCACTAAGATGGGCTCTAGAATGAGATGGAATTGGGCTTAACAAATTGGGTTCATCCACTATAGCCGAAATCAATTAATTTTGGACTTTAATTAAATTCATATTTATTGGATTTAAATATTTAACTCAATTATATCAATCCACAATATTTATTTGGATTAATATATTTACGAATTTAATATAATATGAATCATTTTATAAATTTATATTTAATAAATTTTAAATAATTACAAATGTCTCCCGCTTCAAGTCTTGTCGAGATATTTTATCTTTTAGAGACTAGGCTTGAAGCATTAACCGGTTACTAAATTCACCTTAGTTAAAAAATGAATTATAATTGAATTGGGAATTTTAATCCTACCCAATTTCATATTCATAATATATGTTTTATTGTGTTAATCAAAAAGGAATTGTAATTGAACTAGGAATTGTAATCCTACTCAATTTCATATTCATATATATATGTATTATTGCCTTAGTAAAAAAGGAATTGTAATTCACCTAGGAATTGTAATTCTACTCAATTTCATATTCATATATATGTTTTATTGCCCAAGCCAAAAAGGAATTGTAATTGAACTAGAAGAAGGATTTTATTTCCAGCACAATGCATCTATAAATAGATACATTGTCTCCACAATTTTATCTTCAATTACATATTGCGAGCATACGACAAAAGGGCATATTCAAGGTAATCCTCTTTTTTTAAAAAAAAATTTCGTCACTTTTTTACAATTTGACATGTTTATCGTAGAAAAATCACATCTCATTGAAAAAAATCAATATCATGAACCATTTAATTTTTTAGAAACTAGGATTCTTGATCTCTAACATATCCAAAATTCAAAATTTAATACCTGCAGAATCTTTCTAGATGATTTTTTGAAGTTATCTCTAGATTCTGCCATACTAAAAATTTTCAGATTTGTGTGACTTTACTAAAAATCTCGTGTCTTGACGTATGAATGACGAAGTCACAATCCACTTGATGATTCAGAATCTAGACAGAAAGTTCTACAACATATCCAAGATTTAAGATTTAATATCTTCCGAGTCACAAACATCTTGAGGGGTAACAATCTCTCCTTCACTTGTGATTTCCTCCTCTTTTTTTGTGTAGATCAACAAAAGCAATTTTATATTTTACGGAGGCTACATAATGGAAAGATTTATCACAAAAAAATGTGTTTAACGTCCCTGCCTTATAAAAATAAATAAATAATACTCTCAAGGTGTTACATGACCCCAAATGCTTAACCAACTTGATTCTTTAATAGAATACCGTGTAACGCTCCCGCCTTGAAAAAACTCAAGGTGTTAAAAGGTCCCGAATGCTTAACCAACTTGAAGTTTTTCTAGAATACATGTAACACTTCCGCCTTGAAAAGAAACTCAAGGTGTTATAAGGTCTCGAATGCTTAACAAACTTTAAGCTTTACTAAAATACCGTGTAATGCTCCCACCTCGAAAATAAACCCAAGGTGTTACAAGGTCCTGAATACTTAACGATGAAGCTTTTCTAGAATTCCGTGTAACTCTCCCGCCTTGAAAATAAACTCAAGGTGTTACAAGGTCTCAAATACTTAACCAACTTGAAGCTTTACTAGAATACCGTGTAGAGTTCCCGCCTTGAAATAAACTCAAGGTGTTACACGGTCTCCAATACTTAACCAACTTGAGTCAAGATAAACCCTTGAAAATACCAGTTTTAGGTGCAAAGGGGCAAATATTGTCCACCTTAAGGCATGGAAATTTGAGGATTTTTTTAAAGATAAATAAGTGGAAACTCTACCTTAAAATGCAAAGGGACGAGTTTGTCCACCTTAAGGCATAGAAATTTAAAGATTCGTTGAAGAAAAAATTCGCAACAAAGCTAGCTTAAGGTGCAAAGAGAAATATTGTCCACCTTAAAACATAGAAATTTAAAGATCTTTTTAAAAATACAATAGTGAAAAGGCCAACTTAAGGTGCAAAGGGACAAATTTTGTCCACCTTAAGGCATGGAAATTTAAAGATCCTTTTAAGTATACACCCGTGAAAAGGCCTAGATTAAGGTGCAATGGAAAAGTTTGTCCACCTTAATTTATAGAAATTCAAAGATCTTAAAGTGCAAAAGGAACAAACTTCACCCACCTTAAGGCATGAAATTCAATTACATGCGCATTTGGAGATTTTGGAGACTTCTACTTACATACTTAAAGTCTGACCTTCATACTTAGAGGATTTGAATACTTAAACTTGTATACTTAGAGGATTTGGATACTTCAAATAATAAACTCGAAGAATGTATAGACTTCAATTTGCATACTTGATCTAATTTAAAGACTTCAACCATACTAATAAGAGACTCATATTTTCTAAGGGTTTGCCCCCCTCCATTGACCCATTAATATTTCGTACAAGTCTAAAGTTTGATGAGACAAAAAATAAAATAATATACATGTCGCTTTGACTTTCATGCGACAAATCAAGTGGGAATATTTTCTTAAACACTCATGCAACTGTACTTAGAATATGGTTCTAAGCGCCTACATACCTCAATGAAACGGATCAAGTCACAACGTAGTTCTGGGGGACTGAGTGATTTTTTTGGGTTGTGCCATACACAATTTATACTCTTGCTGGCCAGGAGTGACATGCAGTTTAGGCTCGTACCTTAAGGAGCATCATCTTAATTCAAAGGTAGTACCTCTTTTGTAATTTGGCATTAATAGGATCGATCCTTAAGCCACCAACATCAACAAACTTGTAAGCACTATTTGAATATGCTTTGTGTACGACATATGGTCCATCCCACTTTGAGGTAAATTTTCTCCCAGACTTGTGAAAATTAATTATGGGTCTTCTTACCTCGAGAACTTGGTCTCCTACTTGAAATCACCTCAAGCGAACCTTCTTATTGAAAGCACGAGATATACGAGCTTGATAATATTCAAGGTTTTGTTAGGCTTCTAGACTCTTTTCATCAAGTACTTCTACTCAGCAAGACGCAGTCGAGCATTTTCTTCCCCAGTGATACCTTCTTAAGTATCAAGTCTTAAGGAAAGTATTTGACGCTCGAGTGGCAGGACTGCTTCAACTCAAAAAGCAAGTGAATATGGTGTTGCTTGAGTTGGAGTGCGATATATTGTCCTATATTTCCAGAAATCTTCTTCCATTTTTTCATGCCAATCCCATTTGGATTTGGATACAAGTTTCTTGAGCAGGTTGCATAGAGTCTTATTGAATGCTTCGGCAAGACCATTGGCGGCAACAAGGTATATAGAAGATTTATGCTGCTTGGATCCAAAGAGATCACAAATCTTGTTCATTAACTTGTTATCGAATGGCTTGCCATTGTCTGTTATTATATAGAAGGGGTGCCAAAGAGATAGATGATTTACTAGAATAAAATTTGCAACACTCTCTTTCTTCACCTCTTTAAGAGCGATAGCTTCAGGCCCTTTTGAAAAGTAAACAGTTGCAGCCAAGATGTACAAATGTCCACTAAAAGACTTTGGTAGTGCTCCAAAATTATCCAATCTCCAGGCGTCAAATGACCAAGATATGATAGTTGGGTCCAATACTTGGGGCAGCTGATGTATGAAATTCACATGAAATTGACAAGCATCGCACCTCTGAGCATAATCTAAGCAATCCTTCACCATGGTTTCCAAATAATATCCTATACTCTTTATATGAAAGTGGAGTTTTGGTCAAGATTGATGTGATCCAAACACTCCTGAATGTGCTTCTTGCTTAGCATGAATTGCTTCTTCCGTTCCTAAACATCGTAATAACATACCCTCAAATGATATTCTATATAATGTGTCCTTGTAGTAAAAGAAATGAGGTGCACGCCGATGAATGTCAGTCTTTCTCTTTGGATTTTCTGGGAGTATCCTATAACACATGTAGTCAATAATGGGTTGTCTCCAATCTTCCTCTGCGGCATAAGAAACGACAACAAGATGCTCAAACTCATTTTCTATATATTCTTCCTCATTTGGTGGTGGTACTATCCATTTTTGACAAATAGTAACTTGTGTTTGATCAGGAAGGGTTAGCATTGAAGCTAGAGCAGCCAATGCATCAACTCTTTTGTTTTCTGTTCTATGCACATGTTGAAGGGTTACATCTCCAAGCCATCCCATTAAATTTTGATCATAATCATGATAAGGACGAAATTCAGGTTTCTTCACCTCATAACTTCCCATGAGTTGGTTGATCACCAACTAAGAGTCACCAAAGACTTGTAAGTGTAATTAGTTCATGTAGACAACCATCTCAAGTCCAAGTATCAACTCTTGGTAGTTAACAACATTATTAGAGCAACATTGCTTCAAAGTAAAGGAGAATGGTAGAATCTCTTCTTGACAAGTGATGAACACTATGCCAGTGCCAGCTCCGCCACGTTGTGCAGCACCATCAAAGTACATTCTCCATAGAGGTTAAATTTTGATGGACATCGCATCTTCATACTCATCAGTTAACTCCTAATCATCAGGTATCAGATGGTCTGCCAAGAAATCCGCTAATGCTTGTCCATTCACAGATTTTTGAGAGATGTACACAATCTCAAATTGTTAGAATTGGAGGTACCATCTTGCTTGTCGGTCACTAAGGACAGGTTTTCACATAACAAACTTGAGGGGATTATCTCTAGAGATAAGACAGACAACATGAACTTGAAAATAATGCTTCATCTTTTGAATTGAGAAGACAAGTGCCAAGCATAAGTTTTCCATTGGTGAATAATTTAGCTCAGTCGGCGTCATCATTTTTCTTAAGTAATAAAGAGTGTTTTCTTTGCCTTCATTATTCTCTTAATCTAACAGGGCTCCTACAGGCCTTTCTTGTGCTCAAATGTAGAGTATCAATGGTTTTTCAGGTATAGGGGATGCCAAAATCGGAGGTTTAGCTAGATACGATTTGATACATTCAAAGGCATCACTACATGTTTGGTCCCAATTGAAAGGAACACCTTTCTTCATGAGGTAGCCGAATGCTTGACATATCCCCGCTAGATTTGAGATGAATCTACTCAAGTAGGATAACTTTCCTTGGATACTTTTTAACTCATGTTTCGAGGCTCAGGCATCTTTGATATTGCATCAACTTTGGCTTGATCAATTTCGATTCCTTGATGTCTCAAAATAAAGCCAAGGAACTTGCCAAAAGTAACTTCGAAGTCAAATTTCAGTGGATTCATCCTCAATTGATATCTTTGGAGCAACTTAAACACCAATCTTAAGTCTTTCAAATGATTACCCCTCTTTCTTGACTACACCACCAAGTCATCAACATATCATTCAACATTTTATGGAGTAAGTCATCAAAGATATTTTGCATAGCCCTTTGATATGTGGCTCCAACATTCTTCAAACCAAATGACATTATTTTGTAGCAATAAATACCTTTTGGTGTGCAAAATGCGGTGAGTTCTTCATCCTTTGGCGCCATGAAGATTTAATTATAGCCGAAAGAACCATCCATGGACGACATCGCCTCATAACTAATGGTGGCATCAATCATCAAATCTCACAAGAACAATACTTGAAATCCATATAGGATATTTGACCTCATGAATAAAGACCGCCTCAATAAGTTTGTTAACTTCATTTACTATCAACAGAACTAAGTCTGGTCTAAAATGTTTTTGAGCTTGCTTAATAGGATGAGGACGATTGTTGACTACCAATTGATGAACCACTACTCTAGGATTCAATCCATTCATTTCTTTATAAATACAAGCAAAGACATCCCTATATTCTTTGAGTATATTGATGTAAGCGATTTCTTCAACTTCTAGAAATGCACTCAAGTAAGTTGGCCTTAGGTTTTCATCAGTGCCAAGGTTAACTTCCTTCAAAGTATCTATTGTGATCTTTACTCCTTCAAGTTCTAGTGGATCATCTCTAGTATCTTCCTCTTCCAAAGGATCATTGTCATTGACAAATAAATGAAAACATGAGGCAATATCTTCTATCTCTTCATCAATCTTCATTTGAAGAAAAGAATTATATTTATTTTGGATTGTAACATGATTTGAGGAACCTATACTTTTTTCATCTTCGTCGCGCTCTTTTGTGTAAACTACAGTGTTAGCCTTTGCCTTGAGTTTCTTTTTACAGGAAACCATAAGTTCCACTCGTTGTATTATCCTAGAAGGAATCTAACTTCTGAAATCCTTTCGAATCAAATTTGAAGTAGTCGTTGTAACTTTTGAATAACTTCTCAGATTTGTGTTATTCTTCTTCAAAAGACCTAACCTCTCAAATACATAAGTTTTTCTTGTCGCTTCCCCAAGTCGATTAGAGATGATTATTGTCGGCCCTTCTTATTAAAATGCGAATTGGTGGCGGTTGGTTATAACCTTGGCCTTCACATGGTTGCCTAGTTGTATCTTCTGATGGAGGTTTTCCTAGCATCAATGGCTCATTAGGGTTGTAACCCTCCCTCACAAATAACTTGTAAGCATTGGATCAAAACCTTCTCATGTACGTTTTGTAGGGAGTGTCATATCTCTCACTTGATCTTGAGCGATTGACTTTTCTAGTAACTTTGAAGACAAGTTTATTGCATCAATTCGTCTGATAAAAAGAGTTATCCCTCTCAATGCATTTTCTTGAAGGTTAGATGATTGATATTGTTCTTTCTTCACTTTTTTAACATAGCAAAGCCTTGGAGTCAACTTTTTCTTCGAATACATGATCTTTCCTTCATTAAGAATAGGACAAGGGTCATTAGTGTCAATTTTCATCTTTTTGTCAGCCGCATCAATTGTTTTATTTACGATCTTATCATACTTGATTGATTTGACGTCATTGGATTTGGCCCATTAACAACATAGCTTCTCAAATAGAATTTTGCATCTGCAAAGTGTGTCTCAACTTCAGTGAAAAGATTATCATCTGCAACTATCTTCCTTTCAATTCCACCTTCAAGATATTTCAAACATTGATCGTATGAAGATTGGACAATTCTATTCTCATGTACCCAAGGCCTGCCAAGTAATATATTGTATGATGTCATTGTGTCCGTCACATGCATCCATGCGCTTGATTGCACTTGTTCCATGTGGTTCTATAATTAAATAGAGCCTATGGACCTCTGCTCCCCTTGATTAAAACCTTGTATCAACAGACGACTTTCACTAAGTTTTCCAGTCGTGATGTCAAGTTCTTTCAATGCGTGGATAGGAAAAATGTTGACTCCAGATCCTTCATCTATTAAGAATATATTTATCTTCTTCTCTAGCACATGACCCACCATATACAAAGGACGATTGTGTAGTGTTTCACAAAATAGAAGATAATAATCTGTAAATGTGATTTTACTATCACATGCATGCATTTCTTGAAAGTTAGGTTCAATAGATTTTTCAGGAGATGAAAGAGACACCATTGCTGGTATTTCCCTTGTTGTTTTTTCTTCGTCACTAGGAGACACTTTTGGTGAGGATTCACTCGATGTTCCTTATTTTCCAGTAGAAGACGCCTTCACCATTTCTTCTTTATCAGCATTGAAACATGATGCCTTGACATTGTCTTGATTAAATTTTATGTCGAACAAGCTTGATAAGAATTCCTCTAGAGTCATGGATGTCAAGGTTTTTGGTAGTGATGCACTTCTACCTTTTCATCTTTGGGCATTTGATTGATTTTTGCATCTCTAATTTCTTCACCATTTTTCCTCTAACCGGTTGCTCGAATAATTCTTTTCGTAAGCTTGATTTGTTGCATCTTCGCCTAGTTACAAGAATCCAACCTTCATCACCATCTATATAAACTTCCTGGTCTAATCACTCTTCTTCATGCTTTTCAGAGATATATATTTGGACCGGATCAAGTGAGCCAAACATGATAGAGATCTGGTTAGAACTAGCCTTCTCATCATCAAGGACAATTGTCTTTTCATTAACCGATCGCATTACTCTATCCTTAAAGACAAAACATTTTTCAAGATGATGACTCACAAGTCTATGATACTTGCAATAATTTAGATCATTAGCTTTTCCAGCTTTATCGGGTCGCTTCATCTCTGGAAATTCAATGATCTTTAACTCAAGCAATTCATCAAAAATTTCAAAAACGTTAAAATCCAAAAAGGGATACTTTTTCCTTGCATCTCCCTTTGTGTCGACTTTTGATTTGAATGTGCTTGCAAATTCGTTCTCACATTTTGATTTATGCCCTCAGTCGTGGTGAACTTTGAAGGCGACATATTTACACTCATGGATTCGTTGTTGTCATTTCTATGCACAAATTTGCTCCATCTCTTGGGTTCCTGCTTGTCTCTTCCTTTGCGAGTATCATAGACAATAGTCATATCTTTTCAAGCAGAGGACATGCTCAACTCCATATCATGAGAACGAGTAGCTAAATCTTCGAAAGATTTTTGTTTTATTACTTGAAAGATCTAAAGAATCTCCCAGTGCATACCTTGAATACACATTTTAATTGTAGAGGCTTCACTAAGCCAGTCCTTGCAATTTAGGCTCAAGTTCCTCCATCGATTTATGAAATCTATAACTGGTTCATCCTTCCTTTGGCGAGTATTCTTGAGTTCTACCATGCTCACTATACGCCTTTTGCTATAGAAGCGATTGAGAAAATCATGCTCTAGTTGCTCTAAACTATCAATAGAATTTGGTTCAAGATCTGTG